GATCCCACAAATTGTGAGATCATGACCTGAGCTGAAACCAAGTCTGAGGCTTAACCAACTGAGCCACCCAGACACCATACCCCCCCAAAATAGTAGTCTTTTGAAGGAGAATTACAGAGTTTCTACTGCATTCTGAGCAGTTTCAAGTGTGCTATTTGGATCTTATGTATTTCAATCCTCTCAGCCACCTTCAAAACAGGTATTATTATTTCCCTCTTATAGCTGAAGAAACGAATTTAAGACTACTGAGGCTCAAAGACGGTTCGGGTCAAAATTTCCATTGCTGTGTTCACTACAAGCTGAGCAGATCACAGTTTATTTTTTCCTTGTTATATTTTGTAGTCTCTAGGAAGAGTGTGTACCTGACAGAGATCATATCAAGTTGTGTATTTTATAAAGATATTTCACATATGCCTTCACTGATTCTTATAATAATTCTGAGAAATGAGGGGAAAACTCAAAATATGGAACAAAATTAAATGGATATTTTCTAGATTATGAACACTCCAAGGGCAAGAATCTGGTTTTATTCATTTTCTGCTTTTATTTAGAGGGGTAGATTGATTGGCAAAAATAAACACAATTCTTCCCCATATACCCACTTCCCACTTTTGCTATTAATCTTTTCTTCTTTGATTGTGAAATATAATATACAGAAAAGTATATAAAATATATAAGTTTAACAAGGAATTATAAAATGCAAATACTAAAATAAAATGAAAATACAGGTCAGGGCTGCCTGGGTGACTCAGGTTAAGCGGCTGACTTTTTTTTTTTTTTTAACGTTTATTTATTTTTGAGACAGAGAGAGACAGAGCATGAACGGGGGAGGGTCAGAGAGAGGGAGACACAGAATCTGAAACAGGATCCAGGCTCTGAGCTGTCAGCACAGCGCCCGACGCGGGGCTTGAACTCACGGACCGCGAAATCATGACCTGAGTCAAAGTCAGCCGCTTAACCGACTGAGCCACCCAGGTGCCCCAGCGTCCGACTTTTGATTTCGGCTCAGATCATGATCTCAAGGTTGGTGAGATCAAGCCCGGAGTCGTGCTCTGAGCTGACAGCACAGAGTCTGCTTGGGATTCTCTGTCTCCCTCTCTCTCTGCCTCTCCCTTGCTCACTCTCTTTCTCTCAAAATAAATAAATAAACATTAGAAAAAGCCACCCCCTACATCAAGGAAAAGAGTATTGCCAGCACAGAGGAAGCCCCCCACCTTCCCCATCTAATGTTGCTTCCCACTTACCAGCCCCTGACTATCTATCCTGACATTTGAGATAATCATTCCCTTGATACCTTGGATAACTTCACCATATATCAGGGAAAGCCATATCCTTCAGTCTTGACTATTGTCAGCCTTTATATTGCGTATGATTTTCTTTTAGCCTAGCTTATTTTGCATTATGTTTATAAGATCCCCCCCCCATATCCCCATATTGTCCTAGGTAAATAGAATCTGTTCACTTTTATTGTTACATAATGTCTCATCTTATGAATATACCCCAGATTAAGGATATTTGGAGTATTTCCAGTTTAGAACTATGACTAGGCTTTGATTTCATTCTTATATAAGTATCCTAGTATACTTGTGCAGGAATTTCTCTAAAGCAACTCTGGATCCAGAAATCTTACAATTTAAAAAGTAAATAAATTACATTTAATTAATTAATTAATTTTTTAAATTTTAAATTTTAAATTACTGAGATCCAAGACACTTACAAATTCATATTGAATAATTCATTTAAAATAACAATGAAAGGGGCACCTGGGTGACTCAGTCGGTTAAGCATCAGGCTTCAGCTCAGGTCGTGATCTCACAGTTTGTGAGTTCGAGCCCCATGTCCAGCTCTGTGCTGACAGCTCAGAGCCTGGGGCCTGCTTCTAATTCTGTGTCTCCCTCTCTCTCTGACCCTCCCCCCACTCTGAAAAGTAAATAAACATTTTAAAAAGTAAGTAAAATAACAATAACAATAATAAACCCGTTACGTGTTCTGTTTGTTTCTTGAGACCACCATGACAAGTTGCCACAAATGTGGTGGACTAAAACAATAGAAATTTGTTCTCTCAGAGCTGTGGAGGCCAGAAGTTCCTTCTGGAGGCTCTGAGGGAGAATGTTTCAGGCTTTTCTCCTAGCTGCTGGTGGCTGTGGGCGATCCTTGGCATCCTTAGCTTGTAGACATATCACTCCAATCTCTGCTTTTGACTTCACGTGACATCTTCCCTATCTGTCTGTGTTTGTGTGTTTCTATGTACCTCTCTTTTCTAAGGATACCAGTCACTGGATTTAGGGACCAGCCTAGATCCAGGGTGATCTCAAGTCAAGATCCTTAACTTAATTACTTCTGCAAAAAACCCTATTTCCAAGTAAGGTCTAATTCACTGGGATGTGGAGTGAGGACTTGGACAAGTTTTTTGGGGGGGACACAATTCAACCCACTATACATGTCAACATAACATTCTAAATGAAAAAGAGCTTTGTATTTATTTATATTATATATTTTATTTATATATATTAAATATGTAGTTATTTACATATAACTATATTTACATATTAGAAAATTTATATTTTCCAAATAAAAATTTAGTGATGAGTGATGTTGCTATACGTTTTTGTAAATCTCTTTAATATCTCGATTCATACAAGAAGCTGGGTGCTCATCTGCTTTTACACTTAATCAATTATTTGTTGTTTTGGTTGAAAAATATGATGAATAAAAGCCTCTTGCAGGTAATCTCAGACCCCCTGGGAGGGGTTGGGGGGTGGTTCTTTGGAGAAAACTCTGAGAAGCACTGCTCTAAAGTATACATTGTAAAGTAGAAGCAAAGTGGAATTTCTAGGCATATGTATGTATCTTCTGCTTTATTAGATAATGCCACACTGTTTTTTAGTGGTTTGTATTACGTCACATGGCGTGTACTTGTGCGAACTCACGAGTCAGAAAATAGAACCCACCTTTCTTACTTTGAATTTCATTCCTCCTTCCACTCACAGACACAAATAAGCTTTCTGTTTGGCCCAGTTCTCAGGAAAGTGCAGTCTCCCCCAGATCTTATCTCCTTAGAGCTCCTTTCCCGCATGCGGAGGGTTTGGGCCCCCAAAGGCCACGGGAGTTACTGCGTCCTCCCCTCACCCCTTAACAATATCCCTCACCCCTACCTGACCTCCGCACCCACCTCCCTCGCTTCCCCGCCTGGCTCCTACCACCAAATCTGTATTTACTTCTCACCAAGCCCTCTACCACCCTCTGCTGATCATCTTAAAGGGCACGAGCCTCACCATGGTCATTTATTAAAAAATGGAATGATACCTAATTTGTGTTTTTATGCACAAGAAAATGTATAATTTAAGAAATCAACACCTGTTAGTTACCTATTTTTTTTTAATTTTTTTTTCAACGTTTATTTTTATTTTTGG